GCTAAATTGACCGTAAATTATAAAAGTGTTAGAGCAGCAAATTCTTATTTAAATAATGCTATATATGTATGAAGAGCAAAGTGTTCAGAGGAGCTCGGTGTCTACATTATCATCGGTCGTTGAGCTATGACGCCAACCCAGCTCGTATAAAAAGACACAACGCACTTCTAAATTTTGATTAGATACTCGTACACTCAGTGCGGTCGCAGATCGAGAGCAACAAAACAATATGGATGCACCAGAGTGGTTGACTGAGAATTATATGCTGGAAGCATTACGCGTCCATCACGAAGACCCCGGTCTTCAGCTACATTCTATGCATGTGCAGCCGGCAATGGCAAGGGGCGAAAACTACGGTGGCGTACTGACTCGCATCAGAGCACAGTACCTACTCAACAACAGTAAGCAGAGACTAGAAAGGAGCTTTATCGTGAAGACATCTTTCGAGGAGGATCCCATTGCCAGCGCCATAATGGCGCCCTATGACATCTTTAATCGTGAAATGCGTATTTACGAGGAGGTGTTGCCTAAACTAAACAGATTGCTTCGCGAGATCGACGATACGGACCAACTCTTTGCAACGGCCATACATGTGGACTACAAACGCCAATTGCTGATTTTCGAGGACCTTAGTGAGCGGGGCTACGTGATGGCCAGTCGCTTGCAAGGCCTCGACATCACCCATGTCAAGTTGATCTTGCGTAAGCTCGCCAAAATGCATGCCACGTCGGCAGTACTCAATGAGCGGCAGAACGGCTGTCTGGAAACGTACGATCGCGGCTTCTTCAACCGTTACACAGACAACTACAGTCCGTATTTCGTCGGATCTCTGCTTGCATGTGCCGAGTACATTCTGAAGAATATGCCCGACCGTGCGTACTACGGCCATAAATTGAACGCGCTAGCGCCCCACTATATGGAAATTGGTAAACGCTGTTTCGCGCCAACTGCGGGACATATTAATGTATTGGCACATGGCGACCTCTGGGTCAACAATGTCATGTTCAAATATGATCCGAGGACAAGCGAGCCCGTCGATGTGCTTCTCATCGACTTTCAATACACTTTCTGGGGCTCACCGACGCTGGATCTGCATCACCTTTTCAACACCTCACTGCAGGAGCCACTACGACTACATAAACAGGATGTGCTGTTCCAGTATTACCATGGTATTTTTAGTGATGTCCTGCAGAGGCTGAACTATAGTACACATCCAGTGCCCTCGTTGAACCTCTTCCGGCAGCAGGTGGAGCAGAAACGATTTTTCGGTAAACTTGCACTGAAATGATATATATGTACATACTTAACTTATTTGTAATTGTCTTTATTTCCATACTTTCAGCATTCCATTCTTCCTGTGTCGTACAGCCGGTAATGATCAGTGAAGACACAAAGGATGCCGATTTTAATTCGCTGATGGGCGAGGACGAGCGTGCACTGAAGTTCAAATATAATGCCTACTGCAACAAACAGGTGCATAAGAATCTCATAAATTTGCTGCCATTGTTCGACCGACGAGGACTTTTGGAGGCAAATCAGGCGGATTGATCAGGATGCGGTGGGGTGGTCCGATTTTTGTTTAATGGAGTCCCATCAAAAATGGAACACATGACAGGCTTTACGTTTATATGTCAATTTTCAAAGAAATGCAATATGTAGTAATTTTTCAAATTTATTTCGGACTGGTCCACTGCCAGATTTTAAATAAGCATTTATAAATATCTAACGGAACAAGTTGTTAGCGAAATTAAAAAAAAAAGAAAAAAATTATAATTTTGAATTTATCAGAGATTATGACTTTTACCAGGATAACACAGGATAACAATACTCAAACGAAACACTAAGTTGTTTTGTCAGAAGTTCACTGATACATAGTATGTCTGTATAGTATGCGTGTATGTATGTATGTATCTTTGTGCAAAGGTAAAAATGCGAGTTCGCTTTTGTTAATTTGTCCATTCAGAAATATGGGTGTATGTCTTTAGGGCAGCTGTAAATTTTTGGATTTATTTGAAAAATATATTGCAATCGTACATATGTATGTGCATATTAGGGATGTCAATCCCGAATATCCCGGGATTAGTCGATTTAAATCCCGGGATTGCTGGAAACAATTTTTTTGTTAGCCAATTAAATTTTTATCACAAATATCCCCTCTCAAGGGCAAATTAAGAATTGTTTGCAACCCTTAATGCTATAATTTCTTTACGATCGCATTACCATCAAAAGAAGGAATAATTTTGCTTCGCTCGAAATGGAATAGGTGATGCACTTATATATTTATTGTTTACTTAAATGTGTTAACTTTTTTATTATTACTTAAATATACTGATAATATCTTAAATTGATCTCAAACAGTGATTTAAAAAATTTTATATAGTTACATAGGCAGTTACTGCTGTACCAAATACAGTCACTTACAAAAATATTTTGCACCGATTTTTTTGCAATATCCAAAATATTTTTCATTGTATTTTTTTGTTAATTAAAAAAAATATATAGCTCATTTTACAACAAAAATCATGTAAATCAAAATTTCACACTTTAGAGAAAGTTGGTTTAAGTCCACCAAATTATCATAAAAATATCAAACTTTTTAATCGTAATTTTTACAAAAAATTCCATTATGCAGTTTTACAGCCCATTCAATTTAATACAATAAAGTGCAATTTTAAAGTTAAGTTGCTAAAAACTCCCTTGATTTTTTAATTTTTTTTTACTGACGATGTTGAGCATTTTCTTCCTTATAACGAATTTTGTAGCAAAAAAAAAATATAAAATGTCGACGGGATGTTTTCGCAACTTCAAAATTGCACATACATATATATATTTTTAAATTAACAAAAAAAATACCATGAAAAATATTCTGAATATTGCAAAATATTTCTGTGAGTGACCGTATATGCATTTGTACTTGTAGTACATACATACGTATATGTTCGTCAAATTTTATGTTTGTTTTTTGTTGATTGAAAATACTGATTTATCGCCTTAATAAATATGTAAATGAATTACAATAAATCGTACTTTTTTTTGTTATATCAATCTGATTTCAAATACTATAATAGGATGATCACAGATGTGTTGCACTTTTGCCTGAATTTCGGAACAATCCCGGGATCCCGGGATTGTATTTTCAGATCCCGAAAATCCCGGGATCGACAAAACCCCGAAAATTGACATCCCTAGTGCATATGCATTTATGTATCTCATTTAAAAACGGCTGTTGTACATAATTAAACTTGCAATTTCTAAAAGCAATTGCGAATTCTAGTTTAATTGAGCAATTATTATTAATTTCTATTTTTCCCACATGCTCGTCTTTTATATGTAAAACCATATGTGTTGAATCTTGTATATATGTATGTACATACATACATATGTATATGCACATGTGTTATGCATAACGTTCGTATCCCTACTTTTCTGCAGTGTTATACATGTACATACATATATATATTGTTTTTTTTTTTTTAAATACTGCATTTATACGAAATGCTACCTAAATTTTTTTATGCACAGAGGTAGTATACATTTATCAGTCGTTGATGCAAAAGGATATAAGCTTACAGCTAATTGTTCTTGGAAATTCATTAAATTCTAGTAAAATAAAGTGCAAGTTTCAAGAGACTAAGAATTCGCGTTGATTTTTGATATTTTTTTTTTTGCCGAAAAAATATATTAAAAAATCAACGGTATTTTGTTCCTTTATTTCATTGTAAAACTGTAAAAAAAATTCCTAATACTCGTACTCCAAAAAATGTTTTTTTTTTTAGTTTTTTGCCCGAAAAAATATGCGAGTTATTCGCATTGGGTGTATAACTAAAATATTACCAGTGTTTATCTGTAAGGAATACAATGGTTACAAAATATGGACTTTGCATCGGTTATAATTGTTTTCTTATGCACACGCACTTGACACGTTATGTTGTGCGCATAAATGTATAGCCAGAAATCAGGCACTCGAGTGCATCTTTTACCCCAGCGAAAGTTCCACTTGAGTCGCATCCCCATAAAAAATTGTGCGACGATCCTCTAAAGAGAGTATTCCGCAATTAGTCTCAATGGGGTACAATTGGCAATTAACCGTTTAGTGATATGTAGGCACTTAGTCAACGAAATTTCATGTACGCCGTTGGCATGTAGAGAGAGCCTGGGAATCCGATTCGAATCGAATCTGGCAATGGTTATTTTTTTTTTTAAGGGGGACATGAACAGGTCTATTCTGCGTTGGTAACAAAAATGTTGTTACTGGTAAATAAATAAATTAATTAATTAATTAATAAATTTTGTCATAAGCAGAATTTATACAAAACTTCATAGCTGAATTGCTGCATAGATTAAATTGTTACCAAGGTACTTAGGATTGCGGTTACAAGAAGTGGTGTTATTTGTATGTAACAAAATTTTCCGGTGTCAAAATATTCGGTGGCAAGCAGAATAGGCCTGTTAGTCTCTTCATAGGACATAATCAAACAAAAGGGAACATTCATTCCATATCAAGAGATCGAAAGTGGTATTAGCCGCATGTTCCTTTGCGATTGCTCCCGGAGCTATATACGTACGTACATACCCACCCTATAAACATTTTGGCGAACGTTCGAAAATTACCTTCGATATCCAATATGAATATCGAACTGAGAACGAACTCAAAACCAACCTTAGTTTTCCAACGTTCATAGTGTATTGGAAATACATTCGAGATGGGTGCGAAAAAAAAAATTAAAACCATAGTAACAAGAGGGGTAGTGAAATCCAGCTCATTTTCGAATAGAAATATAATACAATCACTCTTTTGCATCAAAATTTGAATTCGATAATGGGCTGGATTTCGAATTCATAACGAAGGAAAAAATTCATTAGATAACCAAGGTTCCGTTTTGCTGGAGAATGGCCTAGTTCTCGAATCGAATAGTAACCTATTTCCACATTCATTATCGAAGGTGAGACTTGAAAAAAAGATTAGTTTTCCAATTATTTTCGAATTGTTAGCCATTCTGCAGCAAAACGGCACCTACGTTATCCAATGTATTTTCGCCACGTTATGAGTTCGCAATCCAGCCCATTATCGAATTGAAGTTTTATTGTGAGAGAGCGATTGTCTCCTCTTTTCCATCGAGAATGAGCTGGATTTCACTTTCTCTCTTTTTACAATGGTTTTAATTTTTTTTTTCGATTCCATTTCGAGTGTATTTCACTCACAGAACTTCACAGAATTCTTAAAAATCGATATTTTTCGGTCAGAAAACTCTGGTTCTCTTCACAAAAACTTCCAGTAATAATACCCAATTCTTTATTTAACCAACATTTTAATACCAAAGATTTTTTATTGGTCTCACATTGCATTTTCTGGGGCTTTTGGCGGACCTATAAAATACAGTTACTATGAAAAAATTGTTAAATAAACAATTGCGTATTATTATTGGGAATCTCCTGAAGAGTAGCAATTCTATACCATTTCTACGAGAAATATTTTTTGATTTCTGGATAAATAAGAGCCTTATAAAATTATAACATAACATAACATAACATGACATAAGATAACATTAACATTCTATACGACCTAAAGCAGTTTTCTAAGTTCATCAGAAGATGTATAGTTTTGAAAGTTTATAAATAAGTGTGATAGCGACTTTTGGAAGAACAGTTAACATTTGATGCTATTTTTTCAGAATATAAAAAGATTTTGCACTGTGTTGTTAGTGGACATGAAACTACTATAAATACTGGTACGTAATGCTTCAAAAACTAAAAATCGAAAAAATTTTACATAGCGCACTTTGCAAGTGGACTACTCATATACAGTATCGGTCATATCTATAGCACGCCATTTCAAAGTGATATTGTGTGCCACTTATGTTTATTTATTTATTTTTAAGAATTTTCAATTAAAATACAGTTCTTTCTCTAACAAACCCCATATAAACCCAAGTTTAACAAATTATAGAAAACTTCAAAAAAGTGCAACAAATTTTCACCTAAGTTTCAAACTTTTTTCTCGGAAGTGTTAGATTTTTTTCGAGTACACAGTTTTTTAGCCCCTGCAATTTTAGTCCGATAATGTGCAAATTTCAAGTAGGTACGAAGTACCGTTAATTTTTTAGAATTTTTTTTTGTTGCATTGGCTTCCATATAATGAATAAACTCAATTTATTTGTATATGGAGGAAAGCCGCAACACCTTTGGAGAAAAAAATTCTAAAAAATCAACGGTAACTTTCAGTCAGTTGAAACTTGCACATTATCAGACTAAAATTCATTGGGCTATAAAACTGTGTATTCAGAAAAATTCAAACACTTCTGAGAAAAAAGTTTGAAATTTAGGTGAAAATTTGTTGCACTTTTTTGAAGTTTTCTACAAATTGTTAAACTTGGATTTATATGGGGTTTGTTAGAGAAAGAACTGTATTTTAATTGAAAATTCTCAAAAATAAATATATAAACATAAGTTGCACACAATATCACTTTGAAATGGCGTGCTATAGATATGACCGATACTGTATATATATAACAATCCTAGGCGGTGAGAGCATTAAAATTCCGACTTTACTTATTTTGGACCACCCTAATGTGCACATATGGATATCTCCAAACTGGCGTTACGTGACGCTCGTGTGACAAAATGTTAAAAAAAAAGAATTGAAGAAGTCAATAAAATTCAGTAAAAAATTACAACTGTTGATAGTAGCGATTTAAAGATATAGATTACAAAATTGCAAAACTCTGCGAATTGGGCAAAACTATATGGATATAAGCATTTTGTAGTAATATTGGAAAGGTTTAAGGTTAACCTTCCAAGTAGACTTTTCGCTGGAATCGCCCATATGTAGATACGTAGCTCTCAGAAATACATTTTTATCAATGTATCGTACCTTAAATCGAGTCATGAATAATATTAAAAATCCGATTCCAGCAGTTTTTAGGAGGTATCAAGAATGAAAGATTTTTTGACGACAAAATTGTTAAACTTATTTCTTTGCAATGGCGACCGATGCGGTCTAATGTATATATGCATATGTATGCGAGCAGACGAGCGTAAAAGCTTAAA